AAATTACAAATATATTTTCTATATCTTTAAATATATTTCTATAAAATTATTTTCATACTTGCTTATAAAAAATATTTTTAAATAATTTTTTCTAGCTCTTTAACCAGGGTAGCCACCTAGCCTGCCACATTAAGCACGTGATTTCGCAAAATATCACTATATTAACATGCTTTGTGATCTTAGAAAATTTTGTTTCCGTTATCTTAAAGAATATAATGCCAAATTTTCGTAAATTTTTAGCAATTTCTTATCAAGTTATAGGCGAAAAACTTGTTCGCCATTACTTTCCGTGTTAACTGTAATATATAATTTTATTATATTATTAAAAATAAAATTTTTTGATATATTTTAAAATATATATAATTTAATTTATAAATATATTATAAAATTATAATTTGTAAATAATCAAAAAATTAATCAAGATTAATTTTTAATCTAGCCAATTAATTCTAAAAAAATTAGTTTAGCTAATTTTTAATATAATATATTAAAAAAATAATATATAAATAATAATTAATAATATATATAATTATTAAATTTATATTTATTATTATTATATTAAAATTAATTAATTATAAAAATAATATAATATTATCAAAATTTATTAATTAAATATTATCAGATTAAATCTAAAAAATCTGAAAAATCTATATATTAAAATATGTGATATTATTTTATTTGAATATAAAAATAAAAAATATTTATTAATAAAATTGAAAACTTTTATATAAAGATAAAAATTCATATTTTACTATATTTAATTAATAAATTTTGATATTATTCTATTATTTTTGATTGTTGTTGTATATAAGTTAAAACTTAATTAATAATACTATTACTAAATATAAAATATTATATTAAAAATTAATTAAATATTTTATATTATATAAAAAATAAAATTATAGTTTAATATATATAATTTACAAATTTCAATATATATTATTTATTAAATTTTGTAAAATATATAAATATATTTTTTTATTTAATTAATAATTAATATCTCAAAATAATAATAATTAATATAATTTTATATAATATTTTTTTATTATAATTTAAAACTAATAAATAACTAAAAATTTATAAATTATTTTTTATTATTCTATATATTTTTTTAGTTTTAATTATATATTTATATTTAAGTATATTTTTAATTAAATTAATTAAAAAATTATAATTAGTTTCTATTCATATTTTTAAATAGCTTTTCATAGTTTATCTTGAATATAAATTAGATTTTTCAATTATTTCAAAAATATATTCATTTTATTTTAGATATATTTTATAGAATTAAGATTAGAAAATTATAATAATTATTTTAATATATTAAAATTATTATTTTATTAAATTAACCATATGTTTCAAATTATTATTCTATTAAAAAATAATATTATTTTTATTTAACTTATAATACTTAATAGTTTTTAATAAGTCATTATATAAAATTTTACAGTATATTTTCTTATTTATAATAAAGATGGTACTTCAAGAAAATATAATACTTATTTATTAACTATTATAACATGTTGTAACTCAAAAATTTTATAAGTTACAACTAGTTGCAAATAGATAATACTTTATTTATTATCATATTGTAATAATTGTCATATTATCTTTAATTTATAATATCAAAAATGTGTACAATGTTATAAATATTGAAAAAAGAAAAGTAATTACAGATTATAATACTTTCATTACCAAATTTGATTATAAGTTTATATTATAGTTATCTAGTATATTTCCAATAATATTCACAACTATCTAATTCATATATTATAAACTTAAACTTGTCTGATCAAATAATTTTGTTTCAATTAATCACTATCCAATCCTTATATTTCTTAGCAAATTTTAAATGCAATTTTCGATGTGTTTTTTCAATATGATTTTCTTGTTTAATTCTAGCAAAAAAACTATTTCTACGTAAAGTTTTTCTTATAACTCTATTGATTACATTAATTTTATTATTAGTTTGTAATTTTTTGAATTGATACAACATTAGAACATTTGTCACTTGAAACATATTGTATAATATTATGTTCATTACAGTCTGTAAAAAATCACAAATGGCCAGATTTTGATAAATCTTTTACAGAACACAGTAGTTTCTGTTTTTTTCAGTTGAATAAAAGAAGATTTTCTTTAATTCGATATAACAGAAGGCGAATCCTTCTTGAAGAAGAGCAGAAATTCGTGATCTTTGTTCGATAGTGATACGACCCATATTGATTAACGATGTTTATTAAATAAAATGAAAAATATATTAATAAGTATAAATTTTATATTTATTCGTTATAAAATTTGGAAAGATTTATATGGATTTAACTTTTTGTAGATATTTATTTGCACATGTCAATAATGTATAAAATCATGAGATATTCTCATTATTATTTTTTTATTTATATGATGCAAAACATATAGCAGTCACTGTATGTATAACTGCCTCCCCGAAATTTTTAATTGGTACTTCAAGCTAGGTTTAGGCATCGGTTTTCTACTTGTTTTGCCGGCAAATCAAAAATTTGCACTATTTTATTAATCAATGATCTATCCGGCCTACATTTTTAGGGGTAATAGATTTGCGCATTTACTAATTTCTCTCCCAAGTTCTGATTGGTTGAAAATATTAAAGCTTAGTTTTAGCGTTAGTTTTAGCGTTAGAATTAAGGATTAGGGTTAGGACTGGAAAAAAGATTATATGTAAAATTGTCTTCCCGACATTTTTTATTGCTTCAAGCCAGGTTTACCCATTTGTTTTCCGTATTTTTCACATTATTCGCCTTTATAATTTTCTTGTGTCGAATTTGTTTTGCCGGGTTGATCAAAAATTTATGCATCTTTATTGGTTGATTTAGAAGACCCGATGTGCAATCAACCAATCAGCGATGGAATTCCTTGTATCCAATCAAAACTTGGGAAGAAATTAGTAAATGCTATATTTGCTAATTTTAATATTAAATAAGGTGTTCACTTGAGTTTGAGGTCATTTTGAAGTCACTGTTCAACACTGCACAATAGCACCCATCCTTCTGACTTGATATATTCCTTCCTGTCTATACGGAAAGTCTACGGATAGTGCTTCGGGACAGTACTGAATCACGTGGTCTTTAACACAAGGAAATATAAAATGTGGAAAACAGATGTCAAAATCTAGCTTGAAGTACTAATAAAAAATGTCTAAAAAGCAGTTTTACATATAATCTTATCTCAGCTCCAACCCTAATTCAAACGATAAACTAACCTTTAACGTCAATTTTTCGTGATCACGCGAACGCGAATTTTTGAAGGACACGTGATCATGCACTGTTCATCTCCGTAGACTATAACACTTTAGCACGTGTTCTTCTAGCTATGATCAATATACGCTTTGACGCGATACAAATATAAAATAGGAACTCTATTATTGGCACGATGATGTTAGACATTGCATGTGAAAAAGTGGTGAAAGACAAAAGCAAAAAGTACCGTTCAAGAAGTCTGGAACTACTACACATGAATATTTAATAAATCTTGTTAATAACCGAGATCCTTAGCATAGCACACCAACATACACAACTAACGCAGCACTAACACCACATGCTCCACCTCCGCAAACTCGAAATTTAGCACATATTTGGGAGTTCGTGATGAACAACCAACAAATAACGATGACACCGCCATTTGCTTACTGAGCAAAAACATCGAAGAGAAAGTAGAAGTTAAAGAAACACAGGAGTTATCACTAGAAGTCGTCGTTCAGTCTTCACGAAATTACAGCATTTCCGGTTTTGGATTGTCTTATTTCCGATAACTGAAGAAAGCGCCAAACAAATGGAGAAAGTCCACAATTATGCCTGAAGAACACAACCAGCCCAACAAACCTGATTAATGCAACAGAATCCAGCACGAATTAAACATTCCAAATATCAAAATAATACTGGCGAGGAGTCGGAAGTAACAGCCCAACAACCAGGCAAACACAGCAACCTCTCACCGATAACAGCAACAAACCAGTAATAGATAATAGTTGCCGTCGAATGTGGAAACATGTATAAACGTAGATCATCTCGTGACGTGAAAATTTGTCGGTTCCAAAAAAAAATGTATATTGACCTCTTTTTCTACTATCTTCGCTATCATTTCTTATATATTCATCAATTTAATCGCGTCCTTTTATTAGATAGTCGATATCTTTATTTCCGCTAGACCATTCAGTTTTATAAATTCGTTTGTGATAATCAAAGCATTCGTTTTTGACAATCGGTATAATTTACTACAATCATGAGTATTATCTGAACATTCATTGCAGTAATAATCATTTTGACACCAATAACAAATTCTATCTAAAAATTTGAAATGATGGTGGAAATCGATTGCTATTCCTTTATGAGTTAAGACATAGCTTCCGTAATCATATTACGACATGTACATCGTGTTTTAAATCATACATCGTGTTTTAAATCATACATACGTAATACATGTATATCATGTTTTAAATCATACATACGTAATACATGTGTATCATGCTTTAAATCACACGTAAGCCTTTTTAGACCCTTCTTCCTCTTACCTCGCAAATATCTCCTATATTCCTAATAAGAGTTTATCAAGTAAGTTCTTCTTTGCTTCATTTCCATTATACTTTACAAATGTACTTGTAAACTTGTGGAGATATAATTTAACTGGTGTTCCTCAAATACAACTTTACTGGTATCCATGACTAAAGTATCTGAAGAAAATATGTCAAAAGAAGATCAAAAGATAGAACCAGTAAGTCCTCAAGTTTTATTATACAATTTTGAGATGCTTCCTTTTAATCATTAATATTTTCTTCAGAATGTTTCCAAGCGATTACATTCTGAATTTTCAAATAGCGAGTCCTTTTCAAAAAAGCGCAAGGTTAAACCTCAATCTTCTTCTAGTGATAAGTTTAGTGATGATGATGAAATAGAATTTGATTTAAGCAGCGTTGCCGAAGAATTACGACGTGAACAAATAACAGAGGTATGTTACATATCAAAATTCTATTTTTTTTTATTACAAACATATAATAATTTGTTTCTGTTTTTTAGTGGGTGATTGGTGAAATTAATATAACTCAAAGATTTCGTAAATATCAGATGGATGTGTTGGAAAAAGCACAAATTAATGGTCTAGCACATGATAATATTTACGAGACTTTGTAAGTATTTGAAATTGGTAAAGGCATTAAAATGTTAAAAACAATTATTTTTTTCTGTCCGGTAACGTCGTGACACGATATCTCGCGATCCAATGCTCGGATCAGAGTGATTTAACCACCATTTAATTTGCCTAGTTAAGGTGAATTGAATGGTTGTTAGATCGATCCGATCCGGTCACGAAATATCATATTCGAAGTTACAGGATTTATATATTAAAAGAGACCTAATCAATCTTTGCCAAACTACTCCGGCGGAATTTTGGTTGAATTTCCCTGATGAATTCTTATGAAAAATACCAATTTTATAATATGAAAACCAAAAAAAGCTTTTTGTGTGGCATAATATTAATCAACCACATTTTTCTTATTATATCTAGAGCTTTATCTTCAATTATAGTGCTTTCAGACCCATGCCCCTATCCAATTTTCACAAGTGAGGAATGGGATAAAATTATCAAGATGAATCCTTATAAAATTCAAAATCATCCTATCCCACCAGAAATTGGATCATTACTTCATCAAGCATCATTCAATAATTTCCAAGGAAAAGATGCAACTATAGATGGTGGCAACTCGCAATTAGGTAAAACCGTTGCACGCGCATTTAATGAACTGTAAGTTTATTTATCTTATATGCTATAATATGTTTGTTATTTATGAATTTTTGACTTACATATAATATATTATAGATATGCTATTATTCCGAAAGTTGCGCCATCAATAATGTCTCAGACTAAATACGCTTATTTATATCTTCATCCAATTACTCGTCCATTCTTTTCAGGTGAAAAAGAATATGAACTAACACTGAAAAGATCTGATATCGCTTGTGAAGTATATGAGGTAGCAATGCTAAACTCAAAATCTAAGCCAATGGGATACACGCCATTGCAGCGTAAAAACGACAGTCTAAAAGTTCAGTTAAGAGCACAAAAATCAATAAATCAGCAAATGGATAGTAGGGGAGGTCCAGGCGAAGCTGCCACACTTCTAAATATGGGTATGTATACTTACGATTAATTACATGAAAGTGATTTTCATGGCGGGTACTGAATTATACTTCTGTGATCACCAGGTGACCAAATGGAGTCATTTATTATGGACCTGAAGTTTGATGGCTTATATCGTTCTTGGTCCTTCCTTACTACCAAACTGGTGATTGACAGGGCCTCGCTTCCATTGGCTGAGAGTGCAATTAGCCATGTTGTGGCTTTGGAGGTACATATCTATTTTTTTTTGGGTTTATAATAAACATTTTTTGTTTTTAACATTCATTGGTTTTTTATATTTGCAGGAATTGGTCGGAAAAATTGCAAAGAACTATAAATATCGAAGCACTCAATTCACTTCACTTAAGCAAATGTCTTTTGTGCGCAAACTCCCACAGTAAAGATGTTACTTAGGATTAATGCAAGTTTTGCTTGTCTAAAGGATAACGAGCTAGTTGTTAGATATCAAGATTAATAATTATGTAAAAAAAGTTTTATTTACCACAACTATAATAAATAACAACATAATTTGGATTCGCTCGAAAGATCTTTTAATTTTCATGCATCCATTTATTAGATATAGAAAACATTCTATGCAACATTCCTACAATATAAGGATTGTGAACTGAACACTCATAGCAATGCTTATTTTGAAAATCGGTACATATACTATAATCATGAGCATTCGGATAAAAACAGCCAATAAGAATGCATAAATTTTTGATCAACCCGGCAAAACAAACCGACACAAAGAAAAAAGCGAGAAATGTGAAAAATACAAGAAATAAATGTATAAATCTGGTTCGAAGTACTAATAAAAAATGTCGAGAAGACAATTTTATATATAACCTGGATCACCATCCCTAACCGTATCCCTAACCCTAATCTTAAAACCATTCTTTAACCTTAATCTTTGTTACAGTAGAAATATGCAATGCTATTGGTTATTTTTGTTATTACCAAATCGGGTGGGATGTACATATATGCATTCGAACAATGCTAATCATTGATACTTTTTTATACATGTACATGTAGATTGGTAGAGCTTCTATATGCGTATTGTATGTTTATAAAACTTCATGTTCCAAATACAATGAATCATTCACTTTAGGACATAATATTTCAACTTCTAGTAATTCAATTTGAGCAAAAATGACACCATTTGATTTGCCTAGATTAGAAAAATCAGATGGTAGTATTTTCACTCAAATTGGATCAAGATATTGTGACCGATTCATATTTGTCGATCAATTTTTCATTAAAAATTGATTACCAAAAAAATGAATTGATCAATTTAGCGCGACTTCACTTTATTTCTTCCTTGTGTTTACCACCCCAAGAATATGATAAAAGAGCGTAATTTAGAAAAAAAGCCCAGCGAAGATGAATTTGCTAATTTAAAACAAAATTTTCATGCTTCACCTAAGAATGATGAAGTAGAATGTACATGAAATATCTTGATCTCATGTGATCCAATTTGTCTAGTCAAATAAATTGAATGTTATTTTTTTGTTTAAATTGAATCACTGGAGATTAAGATAACACATTCTAAATTGGCTAATTAATTTTGTTAACTCATCAGCTACTTTAAGATGTAATATTTTGATAATTAATAATTCAATTTGAACAAAATACTACCATTTGATTTATTTCAACTGGACAAATTAAATAGTTATATATTTGTTCAAATCAGATTACTGAATATCAAGAATTAAATTATTGAACATTGAGATATTATAAATAACTGATTATATATATATATATATATATATTTGAATATGATATACAACATTTAATATAGAAGCTTTATCAATTTATAACAAATATTAATAATTAGCATTTGTAATATTTTTTGAGCTTGAAAAATTTTGGTATATTACACAAAATCTATAAAAAATTATGGGAATATATTATTTCTAATGAGTATTATATTATTACAATTAAAATTATGAAGAAAATAAATTTAATAATAAAAATAAATGAAAGTTATATTGTAATTATTGTATAATTCAAAATAATAAGATAAAAATAAATTATATTTAAAGTATAAAAATGTTACTTTTTTATTTTCTAATATAATTAAGTTTCTTAAAAATAAATTTTTATTATTTTAAAATGCAAATATAATCTTGATTATTATAGATTCTGGTTACAAATAAATATATAATAGTACAAATTTCAACTATAAAAAATTAACTTGGTTTCAAAAAAAATTAAAATCTTTATCTATTAGCTAAATATAATATAATAATAATTTACTACAAATAATTTATTTACTATATAAATAATTTGTTAAATATAATTTACTTTTAT